ATCGTTCTTCACGTAATACTTTGTGGACGATTGCGGCGCCAATACAAACGTCTGCAAGAACTTGCGCATCGGTTGGCCGTCATTGGACAGCTCGCCGGACACCTATGGTAAGCATTCAACAGATCCACAGAAACAACATTAAACATACGTTCACGTAATGGTGAGGCTATGGGATTCATTACCTGAATGACAACACCTTTGCCAATGGTCTCCATGGCGTCCACTTGTCTGATCTTCGCGTGACAGTCCTTGAAGTTAAGCGACATTATCTTCTTATTGATGTTCTCCTGACCAAAGACGGGCACCGATACCTCTCCCGGCCGGTCGAGAGCCCCGTTCACGAAGTATGAGTCCTCCGAATAGAATCTGATTCAAAATAATGGTATACGTTATTATCACAAACAACTAGTTTGAATACAAACAGCAAAAATTGTCTATAAATGATGGTAACGGACATCAAAAATGATAATTATCCGCAACAATACAATAACTACTGTCACACTTCAGATGCAACACTACAACATCACTACCGCTACCATTAAAGACAAAATGGCTGCCAATAGAGCGCACACACAAACCACACCTATCACAGTACCACTACATCACGGGTTGGGCGCACCTATCGATTCCGGGAACCGATGGACAGACACATACCTGTGCAACAGATTGGGCTTCATATTGAGAATGGTGTAGTACTGGCGCACAAACTCCCGGCCCACCGATTGGGGCGACGGCGCGCTCACGGCGTCCGCATTCAGAGCGTCATTATTAGCGGAATTATTGGCGTCCATTCCGCTCACCATCTTCTACGACGACAACCAATTTCTTTAGCGATCTTTAGGCCAACGAAACAACTCTAACCGTCCAATCATATCGTGAGAGAGAAATCAAAATAACATAAGTTATGGTCAAAAATGAGACAAATGTTAGCGTATATTAAACGCGGGACACGTATTGGTCCGCACGGCAGTCATATACGCCCAACCGATTGGATGCGTTGGACAATGAAGTGTTTGTTATGATCATCGAGTGGTGGATCAGAGCGTAAAATGTATCAATCAATGAATGGTCACACGTTGTGAACAGTGACCAAACATATGAGAGGGCAAGTAATTCATCACATCCACCACTACCTCCATCTCATTGTCCGCATCGAATCCAATCCATTGGTTACCGCATTAAGACATTCATCGATACTAACTAAAAGACATGTAACTAATTGTGAGGCAAAAACAATGGCCACTAAAAAGTGGTGGCAATGAGAGGGAGAGAGAGGGCTAACAGACAAACACGTGATAACGTATTGGGAAACGCATTGTATTTCTTAACCACTAAATGATAATTACATACCTTTTCAACGATACTTGCATT